ATGTCTGTTACCTGCTGTAAAAGCGGTAGCAGAAGAGAACATGTCAATCACAAGTCCCACATCTTAGCCCAGCTCACCTGCCTGGGCAGCTGAAGCTACCACACAGGGTGGGGATGCCCCTATGAAAGCTGGGCTTACCATTTATGCCTTGCAGCCGGCAGGCCTTGACTGCTGTTTGGAGCAAGATGAGGTGCCTCTCAAATTGCTCTCACCAGCAGCTCCCTCCTGCTGCTTCTCCTTTACAAGCGTACAGATGATTTCTCATCCCCTAGAGTTGGTGTTTCTGTGAGCTAGAGAAAGCAGCAGCTTGCCTTGCTGCTGTTGGGCAATGGGAAAGTAGTGAGGGTTGACAGAAAGGCCTCTTCTAAATGCAACAAGCAGCAAAATCCACTGGAGGAATGAGCCCTGGTGTAAGGCACAACAGCCTGAGTGTGCTGTCTGCTTTCCTGGGGCTCTCTGCTCCTGCCCTGGTGAAGGAAAGGGTCATGACAGGACGCTGGGGCTAAAAATGAGCAGGAAAAAGTAAACTGTCCCCCTGTGGAGTAGGGGGACTGGCTCACAGCTGGGCAGCGGTGGCTGAAGGGGGCTCAGTTCCTGGCTGGCTGCTGTGGTGCTCTGCCTGTCCCTGTAGGCAGGAGGCTGAAAAAAACCTCTCTAATCAGGTAGAGAAAATCTCCTGCCTCCTCCTCCTCCTTGTAGAAGAGAATAAAGCGTTCCTGGAAATGGCCATCAGCAAAGCTGTATCTGAGCCCTGACAGCCTTGTTCCGTGGGAGATTTAAAACTCATCTAAAATGGCTGGCAGTTGTTCTTTTCTATTCCGGGTCAGGGCGCTTTTTGCTTTCCCCCTATCTGTTGATGTCTCACTTCTTTTGTTATAAATTATTGAAAGCATAAATACCAAAATGCGTGAGAAAGAAGCAGGTTGTGTGGTTATGGGAGGCTCTGCAAATTTGTCAGGGGAAAAAAAGCTCTTGCTGGGATAAAACTCTCCTTGTTCTTTGTGTCAGATAGGTTTTTTAAAAGCTCCCCAGCAGCAGCCCCGCACCTTGCCTGCTGGAAATGCAGAGGGTTGGCTTTAAAGCTGCTCCAGCTGTGGTTTGTAGGATCATGGCGGTGGCTGGCTCGGGGAAGGGGGAGCTCCCCTTCCCCAGCCTGCGCAGCCACCGTGGCGGCTTTGTGCCCAGACAAAGACCCCAGGATCTGCAAAGCGCTGCAGCATCGGGGATGCAACGTGTTGCGTGGGGGCTGCACCTTTGCTGGGGTGGGTGCAGCTAATGCTGGTGAGGGGCTGTGCGCAGGGAGGATGGGAACCAGGTCCTTCTGCGCTCGCTGCCTTGCCAGGGACAAGAGCTACAGCAGACTGTGCAGCGTCCGCAAAGCAGAAGTGTGGAGAGCA